TCCTCAAGCAGAGTCAACCCTGCTGATAGACAGGCTTAAAATGTGTCTTGTTTACATATAATTTCTTTGTAAAATCCAACTGAGTGCAGAAATTACAAGTAACCACATGAAATGATGTTTTACTGTTTACCTCATCCCATTAGACTAATAATAGAGCTCTACTCCATTTGAAAAAAAAGAAAAAGACAAATTCAATATACATTTCAAAATTTGGTAAAAACTTTTTATCAAACCAAATGATCCTCTCTAAATGGACCTTTGAAACCAAAAGGAAACTATAGGAGGAAGCATCTGTAATCCATACCAAGTGTATCTGGAAATCCTTTCATCAGTGATTTGATGAACTCCAAGCAAAACTATTTTTAACCTCCAATAGGTCAGTCAGGATGATATTAATTGCACACTCCAAACATAAACAGCATAATTTCCTTATTGCCGAAGAGGCAAGAAGAGAAGTTTGAAGCTGATCCATAATTTTCTTCTGGTATTTAAAGGCCAGTGACTCTATTGCCAGGATTCTTCTCAGCAATCCTGACTGTGAATGTCTATCCCCATGGTACCCAGTGTACTCTGATATATTTTAGTTAGTCCGCATGTCCTGAAATTTGCTTGGGGAAAGATGATCATCACATATCTACTGCTTGGACCATTAGAGCCTATGCTGTGGGATCCTGGCTCTGCCCAGATAGTGGCAATGTGATAATAAGCAAATTCCTGAACCTCTATACATTAGTAGTACACTTGCTTTATAGGTTGTTACAGGGATTAAATAATGTGTCTTACACTTTTAACATTTGGCCTGGTTCATGTTAAGTTCTCCATAAATGATCTTCTTATTATCATAATTATTTATCTCCTCCCTGCCCTGCATATATTTCCATGGAGTTTCTTTTACCAAATGACTGATTCACCTAGCCCCCACTTCAGCCTATAAAGGGCTTGGCAGAGGGATTTTTCTGTACAGGTTTTAAAACAAAAGAGTCATGCAAACAAAGTGTAGACTAGCAGTCATAGGAAGACTAGAGCTGTCACCTGCTTGCTGACCAGCATCTGCCCTGTCTCACACCCATCCTGAAGAATCTGCATAAATGCAGCAATTCCTTCAAAGAGCCATTTCTGCTGTGATGACAGAGAGGGTCAATTGTTTCACTGCCCACTCACTTTCGTTGTTTTTACTGCCGCTTCTTGATCTCTCCCCTCTGCCTCACACCCACTCTTACATATACAGAGGCCCCAAGAACTGACCAGCCCTTCACTTCCAGGAAGCAGCACTTGACTGAGGTTGGGGACGACTTCATCCACAGGAATGTGACTGCTGGTTTCAAATGGCAAATTTGCCTTTGGGAAGTTTTGAGCTGACCTTCACTTTCTTCCTGCTTCATTTCTCATAAAACAAATGGCCTTTTTTTTTTTTCTTCTTCAGACTGTTTCCAGTAGATCCACTTAGACAGGTTTCATAGACAGCCCAAGGGGGAGAGACTAGATTTGAGGGACTTCAAAACTCTTGATTAGCAGCTTCAGCTGCATGCAACAAATTCTGATAAATTCTCTTTTCTTTTTTATTCTGTTAAAATATTTTCTAATTTTCCTTGTTATAGCTTCTAGATACACCTATCATTTTAGAGTGGATATTTAATTTGCAAATACATGTTTCTTTTTTTAAGTATCCTTGATATTAATTTCTCATTTTGATACTAATTTCTCATTTAAATGCTTTGTTCCCTGCAATCACCCTCTGTGTTTTTTCAGCCTTCTAACTTTATTGAGGCTTTCAATAGTTAAGTCAAAGATCTCTTTTGGTAACTGTCACATTGCACTTGAAAATATGTGGGTTATTTTCAAATATCTTTTGATATTGATTTCTAACAAAATTCCACAGTGATAAGAGAACAGTTTCTGTTTGATTTAAATACCTTTAGAGCCTGAAATTTTTGCACCTTGTTTTATGTCCCTAGAGATGTTCCAGTGTCTCCTGGTTTATGTTCTGTGGGAACTTGAACAGAATTTGTATCCTACTCGTGTGAAAATTGTATAAATCTTAACTATGTTGAATTGGTTCATAGTGCTTTCCAGATCTACTATATCCTTCTACTTTTCCAAATATTCATTCTGTTCATTTTGGAGTTTGATATTGAAACTCCAACTAAAAATCTTAATTTATCTACTTAAAAATAATGGTAACATACAGTGGAATATATGTGACTATGTTCTGTATTTTCCAAGTCTCCTGTAAATGTGTTATCATAATTTAAAAAAATATAAAAAAAAGAGAAAAAAATGAGGAAAAAAAAACCCTCTTGATTTCATGTAAAGTATCAAATATACCACCCAATCTATAAACCTATCCAAAGCAACTAGTCCATTAAAGCACTGCAAGGTGCTGAGGTTTCAAAGATAAACACAGCATGTCTGTTTCCTCTGGAAACTCAGGATGTAAATAAGCAGACAAGAGATGGATTAAAATCACCATAAATACTAATGAAAGGTGACATGTGATGAAGGCCAAATGCATTTAACTGACCATAAGGTCCATAGAAATTTGAAATGGAGAAAAAAAGCCATCCTTAGGAATTGCTGTATCACACCAGATGGAAGATGTTTGAAGCAAACAATGAAGGATAAAGAGAATTTAGCTAAGCAGAAAAGGGAGAAAGAAGTTCCAGGCAAAGGGGAATTCACAGAAACAATGCTCATTACTCACAAGGCTTTCAGTCAGTACACTGAAGCAGGGGAGAAAGAGAGAAAAGGCCAGTAGCAGAGAAAGCGGGAAGAAGGGATATGGAGAAGAAGCTGGAAGAATCAGGAATGTTATGGCCCATTCCCAGGAACAGGTTGTATGCGGTACTGAATAATGTCTTTGAAGAAGTAGGGAAAGCCAGTTTGTTGAAAAGGGACTTTTCAGTTCCAGTTATTTTAGTGCTAAGAGCCTCAGGGCAGGAAGATAGGATATGGGAGAGTAAAACAAAAGATAAGAGAAATAATTAGCAGCAGGAATTTTTTAAATTAAGAAATGAAAATGATTTACTTCTGTATTTTAAGACAATAGCCGTGTGTTCATGTAGCCATGAAATGAAAAACAGAAGCTTAACTCTACCCATAGACTAGAAGGATTGTTCTCCCTGCCTCCCTTGAGGGTTAAGGGGAGCCATCCCCGCCACCCTCGACTGTCTCAACTTTTGGGAAGATAAGGAGGGGCTTTGCAAGCCTTTTTTTCAGTGCCTAGGTCCTCTCTTCCATCATAGCTGCTCAGCCCAGAGGCCAGCCTGGCCCACTCCTCTGAGTTTTAGGACATCATTAAAAACATAAGTCTGTGCAAACAATGACAGGTAAAAGTGTCACTATTTAAGGATGACATAATATTCCATATAGAGAACCCTAAAATCTCCACCCAGAAACTATTAGAGTAAATGAATTCAGTAAGGTTGCAGGATACAAGATTAATCTATAGTAATCTGTTGAATTTCTGTATGTGTGTATGTGCTCAGTCACTTCAGCTATGTTTGACCCTTTGCGACCATTTGGACTGTAGCCCACCAGGCTCCTCTGTCCATAGGATTTCTCGGGCAGAAATGGTGGAGTGGGTTGCCTTTTCCTTCTCCAGGGGAATCTTCCCTGCCCAGGGATTGAACTCTCCTGCGTTGGCAACTGGCTTCTTTACCACTAGCGCCACCTGGGAAGCCTGAATTTCTCTATACCAATAATGTAATATCAGAATGAGAAAATTAAAAAAAAAATTTTTTTTTTAAATCACATCAAAAAGAATAAAATATCTAGGAATAAACCCAGGAGGTGAAAGATCTATACTCTGAAAATGATAAAACACTTATGAAGGATTTTGAAAATGATATAAAAAATGGAAGATAACCTATGCTATTGGATTGGAAGAATTAATATTGCTGAAATGGCCATATTTCCCTAAGCAATCCACAAATTTAATGCAATCCCTATCAAAATATCCATGACATCTTTCACAGAACTATAATAAATAATCCTAAAATTCACATGGATAAGAATGCATGGTATACATACACAATGGAATTTTAGCCATAAAAAGAATGAAATTATGCCATTTGCAGCAATGTGGATGGAGATGCAGGGTCCATCACTGGGTTGGGAAGATCCCCTGGAGTAGGAAATGGCAACCCATTCCAGTATTCTTGCCTGGAAAAATCCCATGGACAGGGGAGTCTGGTGGGCTATAGTGCATATGGTTGCAAAGAGGTGGACACCACTGAGCGACTGAGCACGCATCCCTGACATGGGCCTGTACACTGCAGAAGAGAATGCTGAAGCCTTCTGAGGTTAGACTTTAAAATAATACTATACTCAGTGAAATAGGTCAGACAGGGAAAGACAAATACTGTATGATATAACTCACATGTGGATTTAAAAATACAAATGAATGTATATGCAAAATGGAAATAGACCCACAGACATGGAAGACAAACTTGTGGTTACCAAAGAGAAGAGGGGAGGAGAAAGGACAAATTACAAGTATGAGGTTAACATACAAACTATTATACATAAAATATAAGCAACGAGGACATATTTTATAGCACAGGGAATTATAATCACTATCTTGTAATAATCTACAATGGAGTATAATCTGCAAAAATACTGAATCACTATGCTGTGCACATTAAACTAACATAATACTGTAAATCAACTATATTTCAATAAAGGTTAATTAATTCTTTTAAAAAGGATAAGTCTCACAGAGAGCATTATCTTCACTTAGTGAATTAGGTATTATGATGCTTAACTTCAAAATATTGTAGACTAATTTATATGGTACAATCCATATCCTTCTATCTACAAGTAAGCAAATTATCTCCTGTCTTCATTGTATTCGTTTCTTAGGCTGCTGAGACAAATTACCACAAATGGTGGTTTAAAACAACAGATACTTATTTTCTCACAGTTCTAGGGCCCAGAACTCAGAAGTCAAGGTGCCATCAGGGTCTCCTCTCTCCAAAGACTCTAGGAGAGAATTTTCTTACCTGAAACTTCTAGTGGTTCCCGGTATCCCTCAGCTTGTCAGCTCTATTACTCTGATCTCTGCCTCCATCTTCACGGCATCTTCTCTTCTGTGTCTTTGTGTCTAAATCTTCCTCTTTTCTCTTATAAAGATACAGTCATTGGATCCTTATAAGTGAAATCTAAAAAGAAGTGATACAAAATGAACTTATTTACAAAACAGAAACAGACTCATAGTGTTGGAAAATGAACTACGGTTGCCGGGGGGAGAGATAGGGGATCAACATATATATGTTTTCCATGAAATGGATAACCAATGGGGTCCTACTGAATAGTACATGAAACTGCTCAATGTTATGTGGCAGCCCAGATGGCAGGAGGGTTTGGGGGAGAATGCATACATGTATACATACATATATATATATAGCTGAGACCCTTTGCTATTCACCTGAAACATTGTTAATCAGCTATACTCCAATATAAGATGAAAAGCTTTTTAAAATATAAATAAATAAATCAGATACAGTTATTGAATTTAGGACCTGCCCCAAATCCAGCATGATTTCATTTCAAGATCCTTAACTAATTACAACTATGAATACCTTAGTTTCAAATATAATCACTTCTGAGTTATCAAGTGAATCTGAATCTTGGAGGAATTCAACCTATTATGTTTGTATTCACAAACAAGCAAGTATCCCCTGTCCAAATGTCATGGTTTTACTTGCAGTACTGGGTTATTCCTCCAATATAGGGTAAAAATACATGGGAGAAGTAATTTATTTAATGATAAAGTATTTTTTGTAAATATCCCTCTGAATAATGTTATCCAATCTCTCACATTATGACTCTAGCATTGTACAACCCTGCGTCTTTTTTGCTTCTATTTGGAGAGGTATATTATGCCTCTCAGAGAAGGCAATGGCACCCCACTCCAGTACTCTTGCCTGGAAAATCCCATGGATGGAGGAGCCTGGTGGGCTGCAGTCCATGGGGTCGCTAAGAGTCAGACACAACTGAGTGACTTCACTTTCACTTTTCACTTTCATGCATTGGAGAAGGAAATGGCAACCCACTCCAGTGTTCTTACCTGGAGAATCCCAGGGACAGCGGAGCCTGGTGGGCTGCCATCTATGGGGTCGCATAGAGTCAGACACGACTGAAGTGACTTAGCAGCATTATGCCTCTAAATGCCAAAGTGCTGAATGTTATTTAAGTTTCCATTCCAAAATGTAAAACCATCGTTTTCAGGAAATTCTACTGTGTCAGATACTTCTGTTGATGTGGTGGTGAAAAAAACAAAGCTTATGCTCTCATATAGCTTGTTTTAGTGAGTATATAGGTGTTAAACACAATTATACAACTTCAGGTAGTGAGAAATGCTATTAAGAAAAGTAGGTAGAGGTGGGAGGGCCAAATTAGGGGTATGGGATTAAGAGATACAAACTACTATATATAAAATAGATAAGCAACAAGAAGATAACTGCATAGCACAAGGAATTATAGCCATTATCTTGGTAATAACTTTTAATGGAGTATAGTCTGTAAACATACTGAATCGCAGCGCTGTACATCAGAAACTAATACAATATTGTAAGTCCACTACACTTTAGTGGAAAAAAAAGAAAGACAGGCAGAATCAGAGCATGGAGAAAGATATGGAAATTTTAGAAAGGGTGGCCAGGGCAGATTTCTCTTGACGGACATTTGTGTAGAATAATTAAGGTAGGTCCTTGCTGCCACAACCTTCTGTCTATTTCCTTCATTGCATTTTTGCTAGAGGTGCTAAGTAATCCACATACTACATTAAACATAATATTCCTGCAACATAACGACAGTTCTTCATGTCAAAGGGGTTTTCTGTGTTGCCAACCTAGCATAGATCAATACATCTGTGGTGTATATATTTGCAATCACTGCACTGTTCCAGGCACTATTCTACATGTAGGCAGATACAGATAATAGACAGTAAAACTCCCCTGTATCATGTAACTCCCCTAGAATGATGGGAACTTGCATTCTAGCATTCGACACAGAAACAGAAACCTGGGGTTTGATCTCCAGCTCTCCTACATCTTTCTTACCCTTAGAAAGCCACTGTAAGCTCCTAAGCCTCAGTTTCCAAGTCTGTAATATCAGGAAATTGCACTGGACAATCTCTGAATGCCCTCTTGACTCCAGCACTGCACTGTTTTAGAGGACATGGCAACCTGATTTACTACACCATAGTTAAAAATGATTTCAATTCAGGCAGCCATCAATATCCCTGGAATCCTAGATCCTAGGGGGATTCCTTAGCAGGGATCTTAGATCCTGGAATCTGTAGTTAGGTGAGTGGTACGATTGTGGGAAGAAGATGACAGTGTCTATTTTGAAGCAGAAGGTCCCAGTTGGCAACTGGTTAGATGGGGAGCAGATTTAGCCTCATGGTGTTATGGAGCTGCCAAAAACTAGACAGAATTCAGTGGCTTCAAGAAAAGATTGAGTTAATACATATGAAACACTTAGAATAGTGCTTGGCACAGAGTAAACCTCAATAAATAAAGTTGTTATTATTATTGGCTTGTCCCAGAAGAACTAGGCTACACTTAGAAAGCCACAGGAGGATAGTTAGCAGACAAGGCAAAGAACTGGATAGGAAAGCAGCTGATTGGTGGGCATGCTGTTGCCCACCATATACCCCTGCATCCTGAATGCTAGTCCCTACCCACCAAAGGTACAAATGCAGATTTCTAGCTTGGGCAACTATGTTGATGATGACACATTTTAGGATATAAAAAAATAAATCTGCATGCAAACTTTAGAAAAATAATACATTTGGATTCAGACAATAAGTTTGAGACATCCAGATAAAGATGATGGAGATTTCCAGCAGGCAGTTGTGTATGCAGACCTATAACTTAGGCAAGAAACTCAGACTGAAATAACAGATGTGCCAGCCAACAGTATCCATTATGAGTCAGTGTTTCTAAAGTGTGGTCTGCAGACCATCTGTGTTACAGTAAACTAATGTGAGTGTTAAGAGCAAATTCCAGAACCCACCTACTGAATCAGAATCTCCTGCAGTGTGTTCAGTAATCTCTATTTTAATAATCTCCTGAGTGGTTCTTATGTACAATTTAAGTTGGAGAAACATAGGTAGAGGGAATTATTGAAGTTATAGCTCTGTTGATGAAGTTGCATAAGAGAATGCAGGAGAAAAGGCAGCCAGGGAAGCCTTGTTGATACAGCCTTGCAGCACCTGGAATTCCATCACTTCATGCCACCTATTAAGTGAGTAGGGCTCAACCTCAACTTCACATTTGGGTAATCTGATGCTTGGGACTCATCCCAGACCAATGAAATCCCTGTATCAGAGGGAATGTGGCAGGTCCTTTCCCTCCAGAGTCCCAAACAGTTGCCCTATATCAAAGCTTGCAAATTGGTGAACAATTAGGCCTGTTAAATTATTTTCTTTGACCTCACACTACTCTAAAACTCTAACTTGGGGTCCAGCAACTAGGACCCTGTGCTTCCATCAGCATAGGGCGCAGATTCATCCCTGGTCAGGGAACTAAGATCCTGCATGCCACATAATGAGGTCAAAAAAACAAAAAATTCTAACTTAGTTGCAAATATTTAAAAACAAATAGATTTCACATTTAAAAAAATGAATGCCTAGCTTGTCAGAAAACTTAAAAAACTGGCCTTGCTGCGCCTATATTCTTAAATGGTAAAACAGTTGCTCCAAAATGGCCTTCTCTAGTCATTTGAGTTACCTGCCTGGACCCCTGACCTCTGAAGTCATTTTGAGTCCTATAATATACTGTATCAAGGGGCTTTATCCTCTCAGTTTTCCCCACCCTCTGCATACCAGTCCCCTCAAATTCCAAGTACCTCTTGTCACTGATCCCAGTCCCCCTGAGCATGGCACAGAGATAGGAAAATCACATAAAACAGGCCCTCCCTCACCTTCTGGTTTTATCCTCTGCTTTACAGGCCACTTCCTGGAGCTGAAGTCACCAACATCTCAGGTCACATGGAGAGAACTGGGGCAGCTGTCCTGGGAGCAGCACGCACCTCAGGCCAAGGTGAAGTCTGACACCGACATTGATACCACTGCCTTCTACAGCAAGGCCAGGCTCCTTGCCACTGCAAATCAGCGACACCTGGGTTCCCGGGAATGAACCCTCCCCTCAGTAAATCACTCTTCTTTGGGATGGAGCAGCGCTGGTTTGGAACCAGAAAGCTTCCTTAGGTCCCTGGAAGGCTGGATTCGGTAAGAGAAATTTGAGAAGCATGGCCTGCTCTGTGATAATCAACTTCCTCAAATCTCTTTTTTCCCTTAAATACACAAATACCAGCTAACGGATTAGTCATTATTTTTGAAAATAGCAATACTGGACATCTACATATAATTTTTAGTGTTTTAGTGCTGGGAGGATATATATATTAATATAATTAATTTTTCACTTAAAACTGCTAAGCTGGCACAAAGTGTATTCTATCTGCAATAACAGGGAAAAACTTGAAAATTAGCATTTAAGCTGATGTGGAAAGTGTTTCAACTATTTTGTCATCAGTACACAAAAAATAAATTTTGTTTTAAATATTTATTTTTCAAAATAAAACTTACTCATACAATTTTGTTTCAGATAGTTTTCTGCCTTACTCAAAAGAGTGTTTTTGACCATCTCATCTCCTACCTTGAGTAAATAGGTATAATGAAGAAAAGATGAGTAGAGGTTTTGGAGTTATTAATAGACAGGCCTGAGTTCAAATCTTATTTTTGCTATATACTCTATCTAAAACAGATATTCTTATTTAAAATATTTAGCTAGTGATATGTAAGTTATGGAACACAGTGAATTAAACAGTATAATAAAATATCTGGCATATTCTGGTACATCCATTATCTTCTTTTTAAGTTTCATTTCTAGGGATAACAGATCTCATGAAAGGTCTCACATTTTTACAATAAAATCCCTATATGAATATCTCACCAAAATTTTGGTGGAAAAGTTCATCAACCCTTTTGGGTCCATGACTTTCACTCAGTTTCTCTAATATATTTTATGGGTTCAATTTGTACAATAGGTCTAATATTGTTATAATTACCACTATTGAATAGAATTCTCTGTACATAAAATGATTGTCAAATTTCAATGGATCACCACTTCAAACAATATTTTAATTCATTCTT